GCTTCATCTACAAAATCTTTTAAAAACAAAGAAAAACTTTTAGGTTTCTGAAGACCATAATAAAAACCTATGGGAAAAACTTGTCCGTTTAATGCAGGTATAATAGGTATAGAAAACAAGATCGGTATTACTTGACCAGGAGAGCTTTTGAATAATGGCAAACCATCAATATTGATTAACAAATCTAATTTATGGATTAGTAGTGATTTAGGCAAACCAGCAAGAAGGCGAAGTAAATTGTTTTTTTATTCCAATGTGAACATAGTGTCCAGGGTCAACAACTTTTTGAGAAAACATTTGATTCGTTTTCAATATAGTTCTTCCATCACAAGGGAAATTACAGGAATGTTTTTTAAGTCCAGCTAGAAGAGAAGAAAGAGCAACATTTGTACAATTAAATTCCAGGGCCCACTTCCTTAAAAAGTTCAGCGTTGCCTCAGATTCACATTCACTTTCACTCACATTCTCAGTAGTGCAGGGATAAACTGTTTCAGCTTCTTCTATCCCAGAACCTGCTGAGCGATATTCTAATTCAGTACCTACTCTCAGAGTGATTAGAGCTAGATTCAAAACTGTCTTTGGAATCCGACATGAAAACTGCATCTCGAGCAAAATCTCCCTGGAGAGCACAAGTTTTGATCACTAATAACACGAACCATAATCACGGCAAAATCTGTTTTAAATAAAATCATAATAATTATTAAATTTCATAACCACCAATAGGGGAAGTGGGGGGAATGGTGGCCTCTGGGGTAATGGTAGCCAGCAATTATTTTATTTATATGCATCACAAATCAAAAAGTGACCACTATTGCCATCTATGGGAGACCAGAGCAACGTCCGTACGAAGTTTCATTGTCCGGCAACAGCAGGTGTGGGTTTGGCGCCTGGCAACTACAAAAATCGCGATCACATGTAAGAACGAGCTGAGTTTGAAATTAATTATTTGTGAAGTGATTAATGTTATATGGTTTATAACTGCACGAAAAATTGTGTTTGTTAGTGAAGTTTATGATACGCAAAGGTGAGTCCCGCAGTGTCCTTTAATTTTTGTATAGCACGTTTTGTCCGAAATCACATGTTTTGGGGTTATAGTAGCCACTAAGGGAGGGGTAATGGGGGCCGGCCACCATTGCCCCGAATAATCACAGTCTGATTTTACGTTTTTCTAGATGCCCAGGTGCTATAAGAGACGAACCGAAAAGGGTTCGTGGAGTGCTGATCGCCTAGAAGCAGCTATAGCTGCCATTAAAACTGGTAGATCTATACGGGAGGTATCCAAAACATTCGAAATACCCAGGAGTACGATTCAAAAACGAATGAAAAACAGCAATAGTTAGGGACCATCATTGGGGCGATTGTCGGTATTTTCCGCAGATGAAGAACAGGAGCTAGCAGCTCATGTTATCAAGCTATCAAAACTATTTTATGGCGTTTCTAGAGACGAAATTAAGAAATGCGCATATGAATATGCGGTGAAAAATAATATAAAGTCTCCGTTCAATAAAGAAAAAAAGGTCGCGGGTAATGATTGGCTAAGCGGATTTCTGAAGCGTAATCCAACACTTTCATTAAGAAAACCAGAACCAACAAGTGTTAATAGAATTACTGCGTTCAATAAGGAACAAGTGTCTTTGTTTTTTGAAAACCTTGACAAGATTTTGACCAAATATAAATGTAAGGCATCAAGAATCTTTAATACCGATGAAACAGGGATCTCCACAGTACAGAAACCAGGCAGAATTCTCGCCGAGAAAGGGTTAAAGCAAGTTGGTTATGCCACTAGCTGGGAAAGGGGGAAAAACATAACTGTGGTGTGCGCGTTCAGTGCAACTGGCATTTATGTCCCACCAATGTTCATTTATGGAAGGAAACGAATGAATGTGCAAATTCAAAAAGGAGGGCCACCTGGCGCTTCCTATTTTTGTTCAGACAAGGGCTGGATGACGGAGGAACTATTCATCCAATATTTGAAGCATTTTAAAAAATTTGTTAAGCCAACAACTGAAGATCCAGTTTTATTAATAATGGACAATCACGTGACACATTGTACTTTAGACGCATACACATTTTGTAAAGAAAATGGGATTATCCTTTTGACAATCCCTCCACATACTTCGCACCGGCTTCAGCCATTAGATGTAACATTCTATTCTCCTTTAAAGACTGCATTCAACGCAGAATGCAATAAATATTTGAAAAACCATCCCCATGAAAAGATAACGCCCTTTGAAGTAGCAGAACTTTTTAACAACGCCTACATGAGGGTAGCGACTCTGGAGAAAGCTACAAAAGGATTTCAGGTTACTGGTATTTGTCCATTTAACCCTGACGTGTTTTCCGATGAAGACTTCGCTCCGGCGGAATTGCACATGCCTAACCTTGATGTGGTACAGATGGGCGAAGAAACACTTGAACTCCAGCAACCAGATTCGCAAGAAAATCTGAATCCTGATAAAGATATTTCAATATTAGACACCGACCATGCGTCAGATACAAGAAATATGAATGTATCTTTCCAAGAAGTCTTACCAGGACCATCCAAATCTACACAACCAATCAAAAGGAAACGGACAGCTAAACAGAAATCTCAAATAGTTACAGATACCCCAAATGAAGAAATCTTGAAAGAAAAAGCGAAAAAAAAACAAACAAAAAAAACAGAAATGCAAAAGGTAGAAATGGCAAAAAAAATCTGTTTTCCAAGGATAGTAGTAAAGAGACTACAGGTGCTAGCCTAAAGAGAGAAAATTTGCCTAGAGTTTGTACGACGGTGAGGGGTCATAAAGATTCTACTTCTGAGGAAGAGTGGAATGACGATGAAGATATGGATAAAAACGTGAGCGGGCAAGACATTTGTCTTGTGTGCGGTGAATTTGGAAAAAACAATGAACTGTGGTTGAGATGTGTGTCATGTGGGAATTGGGCACATAAGGCTTGTTCAGATGTTGAGCAAACCAAATTTATTTGTGACTATTGTTTATAAAAAAACAAGTATCCACCTATGTACTTATATGTATTGGGGTAATCGGAACCATCTGCCACCATTACCCCAACTTGGTGGGGTAATAAGAGCCGATAGTTAGTTTTTAAAAAAAATTTTATTATTACATGTATTATTTTTTATTAGAATGTAAATACACTATATTAAAAAGTACATTTTTTTCCATTATCTGTAATTTTTTGTTATTCATTTCTCAAATAATAACGATTCCAGGCGCAAAAATGCTTAAGGGCCACCATTCCCCCCGCCTTCCCTACAGCACAAAAAACCGGGAAATGGTCTGAAAAACATATGTTATCCAGCACGCTTGTCCTCAATATTTTTATATCAAGCGTTGTGATGATCAGGTCCAAAAGTGTTGATGAATTCTTAGCAACACGCGTAGGCGTTTTTATTACTTGTGTCATATTAAGTGACTGTAACATGGCCAGCAACTTCGTACTTAGCGTATTACTGCTATTTAACAGATCTATATTAAAATCTCCTAAGCAAAGGAGTTTGTTAGTGGACACAGAAAAATCTATTAGAGTATCTTCTAAATTATCTATGAAATCAAGGCCCGGTGAGTTAGGTGGACGATACACTGCACCAACAATAAATTGTTGATTATTTACAGTAAAACTTACCCACAATTGTTCAATACATTCATAAATACCAGTCCGTAATAAGGTTACATTGAATATTCGTTTAGTGTAGAGAATAATACCACCTCCTCTAGTAAGTCGATCTATTCTAAAAAAATTATACCCTGTGATATGTAGATCTGCGTCAGGTGTACTGGCGCTTAACCAGCTTTCTGTTACAGCAATTATGTCGATATCATATTCTACAACAAATTGTACAAAATCATTAAATACTGGTAGCAATGAACGAGCGTTTAAATGAACAAAACAGAGTGATTCCAACTTCATGATAACGGCGCGAAATTACTGAAATACATAAATATAATTAATTACTATATTATTTATTTATTAATTATCGCAATGTGTTCAATCAAGGGTTCCCATTACCATTATTACATAGATTACAATTCAAATACAAAAACAAAAGTACACAAGGTGGCAGAATTTACACAGCTGTAAGATTCCGATTGAATTAACTATTTTTATTAGAATCTGATCAAATTAAAATGAACTCTTCAATATAAAGTAAACAAAAATAAGAAGTATGTTTCTAGAATATTTAGTTGTTGTTTACAAAGTCTTGATAGGGAAAGTAACACAAATATATATGACTATACTCAATTGAAATCAAAGTGTATTATGCACGATTAACTTAAAGAAAATTCCACTTGATACCAACTGCAAAAAAGGATTGGTGTTTATCGAGTCCGTACTTCTGTAGCGCACAATAAGTTTTCATTGTTGTTGATTGATACGCAGCTCCACTAAGTTGTAAAAATACAGTGTTATATATCGATTAAAGCTTTTTGGTTGACACATCTGTAAATCTTATCATCCTTTTTAACACAAACGACCCCATCGGCAGTCCAAACGTTTTTTGCACCAAATTTTTGTTTAGCTTGAATTAATAATTTAAAACGTAAGTTTGTTAAATCCTCAGTAATGAAGAAGTTGGAACTTTTTAACTTCGCTTTATTTTTGTAGACTAAATTTCGAGCATTATACGTCGAAAATTTGATAATTATTGGCCTAGGTTTGTTTGGAGCTCCACTTTTTATTCGATGACACCTGTCGATTGCCCATGGATCCAAACGAACTTGCAATTTTTCTTTAAAAAACTCGACCAGTGTATTTTCGACCAATTCATTAGGATTTTCGGGAATTCCGTACACACGCAGACTATTTCTCCTAGTATATTGCTCCAACTTATCGTATTTTTCATCACTTTCACTGACTTTTTCTTCCAGTTTGATAACGCGTTCACGTA